TAATACTTAGGTAGCACGGAAAGCTGTAAAACTCTTGAACAAAAGCTCATCTTTCAAACCGGCAGTCTAAATCCCACCGGTATCAACGAACGCTTTTCATTCCACTAATTTATTCATGTTTTTCTCGTTGCCATGTTCCCACCAATCACGTAGCTCCATTTCCTGCCTTCAAAAGTACACACAACCCACAATTTCCCTATTCGCTCCGACGAAGGGCTAACGCTCGAAACGTCAGCTTTTATAATCGTAACGGTGGCCAATAAACTAAACTAAGGAACTGAGTTGCACGAAAATTAATTCAAGCCAACTTGTCTGTTTTTGTAACTAAGCGAAAATACATTCCCGCCTTTATGAAGTTTTCCACAGTAAGTCTGGGCATTCTCATTACCTGTTTGCTGGGAGAAGTTGCATGTTTATCACTTGTGGGCCATCAGCTTCAGGACTGCACCGATTGGAAGATCGCACTACTCTATACAACACCTCTCCAATATCCGCAAAAAAAAGCGGTTTAACTACGGATCTCTTAAAATCAAATAGTGGCACAATTTCAACGTATTAAAGCTGTTTTTTATTGACCCTTTTCAAATTTCTCCCCGGGTGAACCCTGACTTGTCTAAGGACTGTTCGTTTAAATGATCGAGAGTTCAACTTTCCGTCCAGCAATATCGTAAGTTGGTAACTGAAAGTTGGAAAACCGGAAGTTACTAAGCTTGATTTTTCACAGCAATATCTAAGTCCCGGTTATCTTCTGAAAAAAAAAGAAAAACTACACAATAACATAAATCCACTGGCATTAATTGGACGTTACTACCATACAAGACTAAAAGATTAAAAATATAGTCCTTTCGTCTCCGAATGATTGACACTGACTCAAGTTCCACGTACTGCAAAGCAGGTTGAGAGAGGAGAAGTGTGGGTCGAAACAGATCCTGACAACCCCTGTGAACATTACTTATTTTCGAAGAGAGGAGCACTGGGGCCAAATTTTGAAGAGTTTGGGCACTTTCCATTCAGCAAAAATTTGATGCGCCCCGTTCGAAATTCAATGGAACAGGAAATGTTTCGGTAAAAGTTAATGAAAATTCAGACACATGTGTTGTACATTGCTTGCTTCCAGAAATTAAAAAATTGCGGAAATTTTTCCATTGGCGCTCTTTCTCGATTCTAGTTCTTTTTGGCAGCTGTTTTGAAACGGATCATTTAACAGTTCTTGAACCTGTTCACTGGGACCCTCAAAATTTCCCTCAACTCAAGGTGTGGACTTTGTTGGATGGAAAGGGCCCCCTCGAACAAATATTTAACAAATGATAAACACCACAGCGTGCACTATTGAGTTCTGGACGTATGCGGGAGGTTGCTAAGCACGAAACAAGAGCAAGAGTGCTTAGCAAACCCGAGAGCATCCATAACTCAATAGTATACGCTGTGGTAATAATCGTTTGTTTTATAACATAACAAAAAACCAATTTAGTGCAAAACATTTGCTTACTTAGAAACATTTGTTCATGTCAGCAGCGTACACCCATGAGCAAAAACTACACACTGAAGTGACCAATCGGAGCGCGTGCTTTACGTGATTTATGTTAGAATTTATCATAGCGTGTTAATAACGATTACTCTCGATGGTTCTAGACGCGTGCCGTGATTGTACATACAGTCCCTATTTCCTTCAATAATACTAACTTATGTGGCTGGCATTGAATAACCTGTAAGATAAAGAGATAGATATATATCAAGTAATACCATCTCAGAACAAAACCTCTTCGATCGAAATTTGTATGTGTAATCAAATGGCGACGAGTGAAATTAGGAAATAATTTCAAGCGCATTTTGTCAAATTATGAGAATTTTGACAAAACGCAAGTGAAATTATTTCCTAATTTCACGAGAAAACCATTTGATTACCTTTTAATATCATGGGTGACAAATTACGTTCACAATCGTAATCGTTTTTACTGGTTTAGTCTATCGAAAACCGAGAACATGAAGAAGAATGTAGTTTTCGTTTAAAGCATACATTATTGTTAAAGTACGTAATTTTCTGAGTTTTCTCACAAAAAATACCTTTCGAATTCTTCGTGCCTGTTAATAATTTTCGGCCGCTTCTTTTAATTTCGTAACTTCTTCAAGGGTCACCGTCTTAAATCTCGACGCCATCTTGGCTCTGATCGAGATACAAGAGATGTTACCATTGCAATTTTGTAATTTCACATGTGAAATTAAAAATTAACGCTGAAATTTCGCGCCAAAACTAAGGAGTAATTTGTCACCTATGATATTAATGCAATAATTCAGCAGTGTGTAGTATACATGTACATGAACGTGTAAAGGCATCTACACAGCATTGTGGAGATGAACCTGGCAAAAAAATCACACTCCTAAAGGAGATGAGCAGAAGAAAAAGCTTTTGCAAAGTGGCAAAGACAAGTGAAGAGTCGCGGCAAATTCAAAGAACTGAAAGCTACTTTTTCAGGATTTCTACCCTACCTTATAGGTCTCGTTTTAAGAAATCTGGCTCTAACTTCTTTAGCCAAGAGCTTTTAGTTCTAAGCGGGAATGCTCATCCTTTCCAAGGGAACTCCTGCTGTTCTATTTTACTATCATAACAAACAATCTAAGTTATTTTTCTACTTAAGTATCTGCTGCAAGGTTAGCAGCCACTCCTTGATCGTTCGAAGAGTTTTGCTCTTGCATTGAAGCTTCAATACCATCTTTCCCGGCAGCTGTTTCACTGTTCATCGCGACTGATGTTTCACCTTGCATACTATCTGTTGGTTGATTTGGCGCAATAAATGGTGGAACTTTCAATGCCTGGGCAGCTTGAGGTGTGTCACTGTCTGCCACATCAGGTGTCGATACAAACCTTGTGTCAATATTTTCTCTCAATGTCTCGATCTCCGTGGCAACCGATGCACGCACCATTGTGACGTCGCTAGGCTCAGGACTCATGGGGTCAATTTTTGCGTCATCTTGCTCTGAATGTCTGATTTCCTCCTCGCCTTGTGCTTTATCTGACGTAGCTGTCGTGCCTTGGTTAGTCACGCAATATTTCTCTGAGTCAAAGTGATCAGTTTCCATTGATTCAGAAACAGATTCTGTAAGTTTGGAGTCCTCTCCTTGCCCCGAAATGTTTGCTGAGTCATTAGTGGGATCATTGACATTATCAACCCTATTCTCAATGTTACTTTGGTCGTTTTCAATGTGACTTACATCTTGATTTGTTTCCATATCTTCGTTCTCCTCCTCTGTAATGCGTGCCGCCTCTGTTTCATCAGCTGTCACGCGCGTCATTTCCGCTTCCTCTACCGTCTCGCGCACTTCATCTGTTTTCGGTAACGCCATGCTCACCACCGCTATCTCAACACTTCCATCAGCCCTTGGCTGTGTCGTGGGTTCCAGTTCCACCTGTGGCTGATCCACATCGACAGCATCCTGCCCTGCAGCAGGACTCTCCACAAGCATTTCTTGTACACCTTCCTCCTTTACCACACCTCCCTGGGTGTCCATGGCCTCATTAGGAAGATTTGTTTCTTCTTTCACACCTTTAACATTCTCCCCTTGCCCGGGTCGCAGCTGTTGTTGCTCGAACACAGCATCAGAGCTGAATGTGCTTGTCTGCGAAGATCTGGGGTTAGTCAACGGGATCCTTGATGGAGATGTCTACGAAAAAGGTAACTAATCATGAAAATTTCAAAGTCCACGTTCCTTTGAGCTGGCTGCCTGGCGTGCAGTTAAAACCCGCCACTATTCCCAAAAAACAGCCAACTGCATTTTGAGAGCAGGGCATACACTGATTATAGACTTTAAATTCTAGGCATCTCAAAATCCATGACATAATATGCAACTTAACCATCATGTAATGTAATAAGTAATTATAGCAGTCCAAGAAATTGGGAGATAATGCGCGCTACGCCAGGAGAAAGGTGGCAGATTTATCGAAGTTACCTCGACAGTTTGTTTTTGAGCTGGTTGGGCTCCAGCAAGAGTCCTTCCTTGGCCTGAAAATGCCATTCGAGCATGAGATGTCTCCCTTGGTGCAATGGCACCACTAAAGCTTGCCTCGCTGGACAGACCTTTCCCACCTGCACCACTACTACCGCTCCTTTCCTCTACAGGTGCTGCTGGACTTGAGCGAGTGTGAGCTTGCAATAATGTTTCGTCGTCCAGTGGTTGAACTTGGATGTGCCTTTTACCAAGACACAGGTCCAGTCGATCTTTTTCAGCATTGTAAGCAAACACCTTCATTGATAAGGAGATAAAAATAGATAATAATTGTAAAACACTGACGTGCATGTACATGTCATTGCAAGGAAAATTTTCTTCGTGCCATGTAGAGAAATCACTCCGAAGACCTTCCCTTCAACATTGGTAACCTACTGAGCTGCAAGTAAAGGAACCTCGTGACAGAAATAACAAGTGTGTGCCATTAAACAAACACAAAAAATAAAAGCAAAAAGCAGTTAGAAATAACCTGCTCACTAAATTTAATCCGATTGCTTTCAGTTTTTAATAAGATAGAGTTATACAGTGAATTGGGAGCAAACTGTATGATACATATGATGACTCCAAGATACTACTAATACTAAGATAACGCCTTGGTATTGTCAAAATATGAACCACGCCAAGTATGTTGTAGGTGTTTGTCCTCTTGAACACACTGGTTAGAAATCATACAACCAATAAAATTATTCCAAAATTCATGAGTTAAATTCCCGCTTAGAAGACCTAGCATTTTTCTCCCAGAATCTTTCAACTTTCTCATGTATTGATCTTCCTCTCAAATATGTTTACATGTAGTTTGAAAGATGTAAAAATTTCAAGTAGCATATTAAGTAATTAAATTATAATGCAAGTGGTGATAGTAATCGTATCACAGTGTACATCGTAAGTGGTGGAACTAATCATATTGAACAAAAAAAAAAAGAATCTCCCTCTCATTCTTTTAAACACATAGCACTGTTCTTAACCTGTAATGGTTGATCAAAACTGATAGCAGCATTAGTTTGGCCATAAGAAGAAAATGTTGGACCAACATTAGTATTTGAGCAACTACAAACCTACCCCTCCCCCCCCCAACCCAACTACAGTCAACTTATAACAAGTTAAGGTTAATGTTGGGTTGGGGGGGGGGAGCGAAGGGGTACAGATGTAGGTGCATGGTTGCTTTGAAACAATCACTGACCCAAACTTGTAACAATACATGTTCATGTGAAGGTGTAGTCTGATCGTCCGGGTGAGTGTAGTCCTGAGAAAGACTGTTGTCGGTGGTAGTGACTGACGTTTCGACAACCTCTGCGGAAGTCATCATCAGAGTCAAGTGAATGATTGTTGTCAGTAGAATGTTCTTATTCCAGTTCGTGTGAAATGATCGGTTGGTTTTGCCGTGATGTTATTGGCTGTAAGACTCAAGTGACGTAAGTCGGTCGTGATTGGTCTGTTTCGATCTGTCGGTAAAGTTAGGTCGTTCTTTTTCGGTCGCATGTGATGTTTATGTCGTGAATGAGTCGTTTGTATGGAGCGCGTAGTTGTTGACATCTGTTTAGGGTAGTCTGTTCTAAGTTAGTAAACCAGCTTTCCAGAGTCATTCGTTGAAAATAGTCAGTGCTGTAGGTTAGGCATTGCGCAGAGTCCCAGTCAATGTTGTGGTTGGTAAGTCGATGGTGTTCAGTCGATGGTGGTAAGTTAGACCTAATAACTTCATATTACACCTTCACATGTTACCCCCAGGTTCAAGCCATTTACTGCAATACATGTTCATGTAGTTTTGACTCAATCACTGACCTTATTTGGAAAGAAAGGTAAAGTACAATGTTGATTTGGCTTTAGTTGACCCAGCTTATTGACGACCCTGTTGTAAAAAACCCCTCCTTTGTCAAACATTTCATAACAATTCTGTGCTGCTTCCCACATATCACTACCAGTAAGTGTACCAAGAGCCACAAGGGCTGATGCCATGGCAGCTTTGTTTTCAGCTGAAAAAAATTAAAAATGAATACCTATTAAATATACAAGATATGATTTACAGAACATGGTAGTTATCTTAATAAATAATCCTTCCCAGAATTTTGTGTTAAAACAAGACAAAACCTATTACATAACCAGGGCTTGACACTAATGGTAGCCAACTAGCCACAGACTAGTAGAAATTCAGTTTTGGCTAATGGTTTTTGATTTCCACTAGCCATTCTAGCTAGTAAACTAACTGGAATTGTCAAAGTATCTAAGACGTCACTAGCCACTTGGCTAGTAAGTTGAAAAGTCGGTGTCAAGCCCTGATGACACTTTGTTATTTATTTCCATCAGTTCAACAACTATTGTTTAACAGTTGCAGTCCTGTATATCTGCATTGCAAGTGAATATATAATTGTCCATGTATCATTGAAAAAATACAAAGATACATTGCTTATGGTACGAGTCTTATTGCAACTTGGCATCAAACCTGACTGAGGGAACTCTGCATTAAGGCTTGGCTAAATCTAGTATCATCTAAAGATTCAATTATTGTAGATAAAAGATGACCAGTTTTCACATCAGGGAAGTGCTGTTCAATGCTACATGCCCATAATTATGTACCGTAAATCCTCTAATAAGCCCCACAGGCAGCTTATTTATTTCAGGTACTTTGGAGGTGGCTTGTAAGAGGGGAAGGGGGGAGGGAGCTTATCAATTTAGCCCGATGTTCCCTACCAGGATACAATAGGATATGATGTATCGTATTTATTCAAAAATGATATTGTTCTCTTACATTATTTCATTTAGCAAATTGGCAGAGTCAAAATCCTCAGTAAAGTCTGATGAGTTGTATGATTAAATTACAGTACTTGAATAAATTTATTGCACTTACTGACATGGAGTGTTATTTGAATTTTTGTTTTTTGAGGGGGAGGGGTGGGGGCTTAATAAATGGTGGAGCTTGAATGGGGGGAG